GTGTGTGTGTGTGTGTGTTAGCCAGGTGTTGGCTGCGCAGATACAATAAACCAGCAGAAGAAAGTTGGGTGTTGTGATGTTCAGACCCCTGAGGGGGCGGAAGTTGTGAAACGTGTGTGTGCGTGCTCGCGCATGTGCATGTGTGTGCGTGTGGCGGTGCCGTGATGGCAGGGGAAGAGCCGACAGTCAGAGAGGAGTGAGAACTTGTCGGGGATGGCGGACAAACCTCTGACGGTGTTCGTGAAGCTGTTCGCCGCCGGGTTCTACGGTGTCAGCTCGTTCTTCATCATCGTGGTGAATAAGAGCGTCCTCACGAACTACGGGTGAGCGGCTTTTATGTCGGTGACGCCTCTATAACGGTTATTAATGGAGAAGCTAACGTGTTAGCTAACCTAGCTTGTGGAAGTTGTGTTGGCTGAAGTAGCGGAGCCGAACCCCGGTGGAGCTCCTTAGCTAACGAGAACTTTTCAGCTAGCGAGGACCCCGTATCAAAGCTGCGTTTGTATTAGCACGTTAGCAAGCTAATTGAACCGTAAGCTGCTAGTTTACAGTGTGCTCAGACTGTAAGGTTCACTGGGACTAACGGGACTTTAACTGTTTGCAGGTTCCCTTCTTCAATATGTGTCGGCATTGGACAAGTAAGTTGAATGTTTCTCCCTCGTTTACATCAGCAAACACCCTCTGAAAACAGCCAGGGCTACAAATCGTTTTCAACTGAACGTGTGTCTGTGTGCAGATGTTGGCCACAGTGGTCGTGCTGTGGGTGGGCAAGGCTGCGAAGGTGATCAGCTTCCCGGACTGTGATGAGAGTATACCTCGCAAGGTGAGACTACCCTGTCCCTCTGTTTTTTGAATGAAACATGTCCACTGCAGGCTTCCATAGATGTCTTCTTCAGCTGGACAGTTTGTCCTAAACTCAAATAAAATCACTGTATCTTCATGTAAGTCAACCTTAAAGCAGATGATGTATATAATACAACAGGGATTTACATATAAAAACATTTGAGACATAGAAGCAGGGTGATTTTGTCATTTTGCCTTGCCAAACGAATTTTAACTATTGCATTGTGGCCCTGTCTGATGCTGACATATATTCTACCTTGATTTTCAGACATTTCCTCTACCTCTTCTTTATGTGGGAAATCAAATCACTGGTCTCTTTGTAACCAAAAGGCTCAAGTAAGTCTCCATCGCTGCACTACCCAGGCTGGATGATTCTTTTTAATTAGAATTAGAATTTAGAATTAGGTAGAATTTTTTTGTGTCAATAACAGTTGTTATCTATGTCCACTTCCGCAGTCTGCCGATGCTCACTGTCCTCAGGAGGTTCTCCATTTTATTCACAATGCTGGCGGAGGGATTTCTGCTCAAGTAAGACAACTCAAATTCCCTACAGTTATACCATGCCTTTCTCCTGGTACTGTATCATAGTCGCTCAGATTGAAATTAGTTGATCTTCTGTCTTTGATCTCTGACAGGAAGAAATTCTCCAGGCCAGTCCAGCTGACAGTATTTACAATGATCCTCGGGGCGTTTATAGCTGCAAGGTAAGTGCTGCATCCAGATGTCACAGCCGTTTACCAAAGCAGAATTACCTTCACTACAAAGGCTTGTCCTGTCATGATATATGTGCCTACTTTAGTGATATTGTCTTCAGGGTCATTAGACACATGTTGTTTATCTGAAGTTACAGGAGTTCTGCTCAAATAGATCATGCTGGCAGCTAAATTCTCAGTGACAGAGCACTTCTTCACTCCCTGGATCCTTTTTTCCTACTCGTCTCTGTCCGCAGCGCTGACTTGTCCTTCGACCTGCAAGGCTACGTGGTCATTCTCCTGAACGACGTGCTGACTGCAGCAAATGGAGTCTATGTGAAACAAAAATTGGATGCAAAGGTATGAGGCAGCAGCACCACCTGATGAATAGTTACCATTGTCGTGCAGGAGCTGTTTTTGGCCTTGGGCTGGTGTCGGTGAATTTAGAGAAACTAAACTGTCCTTCAGCCTCAGCTCAAAGGAACTCAATGTACACAGTTACCCTAAAGTGGTTCTTTTCACTCCTCACTAAGTGTATTTAATTATTAGATTTTTAAAACAGCCCTGCAGCTTTGTGGCTTCTTTTTTCAGTCATGTTCAGATTTAGTCTAGTTAATAACTGTATGAGTATCAACTTAGAAATGGCCTGTAGCTTGTTTAAGTCAGTCTTCAGTGTCACATGAGCAAACTGCTCAGCTCTCACATTACAGCAGAGACCGAACTGGATCCAGAATTAGTCTGCGATGTCTGTAGATCACCATCTGCCAGCACTGAGCTAAACTGTGTGTGTGTGTGTGTGTGTGTGTGTGTGTGTGTG